ACATTTTAATAAACTCAAGGAAAAAGTGTGAATAGGAGAATTTCATACCTCGAAAAACTGACTTTCAAATATAAATGGCACAAACTGTTCTAAGCATGGATGAACGCAGGAAATCTGGTGTCCAGGAACCCATCCCGAGGAATATACTAGACAGTGAGCTTTAGACAACCAAAAAGATCAGAGGGTTACAAATGGCCCACTACTTATGATGGGGGTCCTAATACTCATCATAAGTTGAAAAATATCATAGGTGGGAAATGGGCATTTTGTAAACATGATGGGATATAAAAATGCAAAACAAAGTATCCAACCAAACCCCAGCAATGCAGTACACTTTTAGAATATCAGTTGTTTACCCTCGTGACTACCTGAGCACCTGCCGACCATGAAGAGAGAATATTGTATCACGTCTCACTAGTCCAGGAAAAGATCAAGTTCCTGATCAATACACTGAGTGTGTATCGGTTCTACACCATTGTAAAGTTGAAAAATCACAAGTCAAACCATCATAAGTCAGGGACCACCTGTAGTAGCAAACATTATACAGTTATTTGCATAACTGAGATAAAATGAGGGGCTGGTGGGGGAGGTGGCATGAGCGTATTATATGCTCTGATAAAGTCAATACAGTACAACTATTTTAAAATGAAGGAAGAATTGAGGGAGCACATGAAAAATAAAATTGTTAACTGTTTTCAATAATCATATATGGGCAGTAGTATTAATATTATTCTTCTGAGTTGGTTGTCCATGTATTATGGAATAAAGCAGATCAATAGTTGTAGAATATTCCAATTCCATCATCTTCTGTGTCATTGAGAACCAGTATTCTTAGTATGGAATAAAGATCTAAATATAAATCTAAAAGACATTAGATATAAACCCTGCAGTCCTCATTTGAATTGGACATATTCATATAGTAGTTCTGCCCATGAGAAACACCTAAGAACAATGGTCAACCCGGTAGCCATGACAATGCAGCAATGTAGGGTAGTACCTCCCTAGTACCCAGACTCTGTTCTTATACTACTTAATACTAAAAGAAGAAAGAGCTTTTAGAAATATTCTGATTCTAAGAGAAGGATATTATGAGTTTGGAATACCTTTGCATACCAGATGTCAAGGAAGCTATCAAAGAATACTAGTTTCTTGTCAAAAGGACTCACAAGCCAACTTAAGAGTCTCCCACTGGCCAGAGATGGGACAATTTCAGTTCACTAAGAAAAGTAATTCAATTGGACTTAAAACCAATAAATGTTTTTATTTTATCTCATTTACTTATTTACTTTGGAGACAGGGTCTCTCTCTGTCACCCAGGCTAGAGTACAGTGGCACAATCATAGCTCACTGTAGCCTCAAATTTGGGCTAAAATGATCCTCCCACCTCAGCCTTCTGAGTAGCTTAAGACTACAGGCATGTGCCACCAAACCTGGCTCATCAAGTACTGGTAAATCTTTGAGTTACTTTTAATGTTTTAAAAATCAACCACTTATGAAAGGTAAGAGTGAATAATTTTACCTTAAAAATTGATAAAAGGGGTAATTTAAGAATTTATCTCACCATACCAACATGAAGTAAACCATTAAGTAACCAAATAAAATAGGAGAGGATATTCCAACTAGTAATTCTAAAAGTAGTGATAGAGGCTCGGCGCCTGTGGCTCAAGCGGCTAGGGCGCCAGCCACATACACCTAAGGTGGCGGGTTCAAATCCCCAGCCCGGGCCCGCCAAACAACAATGATGGCTGCAATCAAAAAATGGCCAGGCGTTGTGGGGGCGCCTGTAGTCCCAGCTACTTGGGAGGCTGAGGCAGGAGACTCACTTGAGCCCAGGAGTTGGAGGTTGCTGTGAGCATGATGCCGTGGCACTCTATCCAGGGGGATAGCTTGAGGCTCCATCTCAAAAAAAAATAAAAAAATAAAAAATAAAAAAAAAAAATAAAAGTAGTGATAGAATTAGGATATGGCCATTTTGCAAATCCCAGTGAATTATTGGATCTATGTATTAAGCACAAATGACCCCTCACAACATGGAAAAAGAGACAACCTAGATGTAATGTGCCCCCAGTGACCGCTAATCTTGCCAAAAAGATTGAACCTGACCCTAATCAAGTCTCTGAATCCAGCTTATAATTTTCAGGAAATACAAAATATAGAGGAACATGATAAACTCCACTGTGAGTGTGAAATCAGTAAAATCTAATCTATGAGAAGCTCTATGAGTGAAACAACCCAGATTCCTCAATAGATAAATTGTAATTTTAAAACAATTATGTTAAAGGCAAATTTTAAAAATGTATCAAGTTTTTAAAATGGATGTAGAGCCCAGGGATGCATATTTGAGAGAAAGAAACCATAAAGAATGCAAAGAAGTGATTGCAGGGGTGGTGCCTGTGGCTCCAAGAGTGGGTGCCAGCCCCATATGCCAGAGGTGGCAGGTTCAAACCCTGCCCTCGGGCAAAAAAAAAAGAGAAGTGATTGCAATAAAAGTCAGGGATTCATTATACAGTCTGAGAGGCGAGGCAAGGTGGAGGCTATGGTCAGGATGGGGCATGCAAAGGGCTTTGGGGAGTCTGGCAAAGTTTTGCTTCTTAATCTGAGTGGTGGTTCCAAGGGTGCTTGCCTTATAATAATTCATTAAGTTATACATTTATACTGTATGGTTTTCTGTATCTGCGTATAATAAAAATACATGTAAAGAATTAAAAGAATGAAGAAAATTATATTAAGAATATAAATTAAGCCAGGCCTGGTGTCTCATGCCTGTAATTCCAGCACTGTGGGAGGCCAAGGTGGATGGATTGCTTGAGCTCAGAAGTAGGAAACAAGCCTAAAGCAAGAGCCAGACCCCACCTCTGCTAAAAATAGAGAAGTTAGCTGGTTGTTGGGGCTAGTACCTGTAGTCCCACCTACTCAGGAGACTGAAGCAGGAGGATCACTTGAGCCCAAGAGTTTGAGGTTGCTGTGAGCTATGATGCCATAGTACTCTAGGCTAGGGCAACAGAGCAAGATTCAGTCTCAAAAAAAAAAAAAGAGGAGATTATAAGTGAGTATAAATTAACAAATGAGTTACAGAATTATATTTAGTCTATGATGAAAGTTTTATAAAAGATAGGCGAGAACACATATATAGCCTCTAGAAAGATAGTCATCCAAGTTTAATGATTATTACCTTGACAGAGATACATATTAGCATTTGTGACTTTTCATATGTCAGTTAAAAGGGGGAAATTGAATAAATTATATATACATATATACACACATACATACTTGTATATGTATATACACACACATATGTGTACATATTTACACATACATGTATAGTTTGCTCTGCTTTTTACTTTGAAATCATTTTAAACTTACAAAAGGCTCACACATATAATACAGAGACAGCCTTGACCCAGATTTAAAATTATTAATTGTTTAGATTTGGGCTCACTTTATCTCATTCATTCCTTTTGACAGTTCCAGATATCACATCCCTTTACCTCTAAAGGTATGTCCACATGTTTCTGAAAAAACAGGAGATACAGATACAAACATAGATACAGATATAGTTTTCTAATGTGGACAAAGGTATTTATTAGCCTTGAAAATCGGCAGGAATTTGACATCAAATTAGACAAAGGATATGAAAATACTATTTTTAAACTGTAAATAGTTCTTATTAAGAAATGGGTGTCTCTTTCCACATATACCTTAGGGCAATTTGTCACTTTTATCTGAAGCTTAAAGAAATTAGCCATTTCCACGACACAATTTCAGATAACATAAAATGAGAAGACAGGCAAAATTATAATAGTCTTCAGTAAGTGTACCAAACTTAGTAGTAACTTAAATGAGCAATGATTCATGAATATTTGAAATTAAGAAAAATAGAGATAAGGTATCCTAGAAGGTAATAGAAAATTGAGACATGCTCGTACATCTCTAACAAGTCAGCTACAAAGTGAAAACAGAACACCCAGTCCAGCACATTTTTACTCAAGGGGAGCTCTAGCCCAATGCAAATGATATACAGAGGAATATAGGTCAATAAAAACGTATTATTCAAAACAGAGGGCCTTATTCTCAAAGATTTTAAAATTGTTTTATTGATGCATAATAGATGTACATCATTTCAGAGTACATGTGATAATTTAATACATGTATATAGTTTGTAAATCAAATCAGAGTGTAGAGATGTCCAACCCATTAAATATTTGTCCTTGTTTGTGCTAGGACCATTCAAATTCTTCCTCTCCAGCTATGTTGTAATGCACAATAGATTACTGTAAGCTGTAGTCACCCTACTGATCAATCCAACACTGGGTCTTATTTCTTCTATCAACCCATATATCATTTTAAAGATTTTTTAAAAGGGATTTGAAAACAATTTGTGGACCACATCAGCTCTTTATAAAGAAGATTGAAACTTGTATATATTTCAAAATCTTGATAGTGTATTTCAAGATTTTGACATGTCTGAGTTTAGTCTATTTTTGTGCAACATGTGGGTACTTTGCCAGAAAATATAGGGCATGTTTCCATACTGTGCACTAAATTAAGCTTGACACTGAAGTTATTTAACGAACTAGTCACTTCAAAAGACACAGTAAAAATACTAGTTTCTAAAATGTTCGTGCTAAAAACAGTTACACCGAAATAATGCGACCTCTGACCGTGGACTGATAAGATTGTTCTCTACACTTACATTTATAAACATGAGGAATCGTCACCTGTTCGTGCCTTGAAATAAGACTTCCCAGCCCCACGCCTCCTTGCATTCCGAAAACAACACTTTTTTCTTTAGAATGTAATCGGTTATTTGCAATTATAAACTAGATGCCACTCAGTTATAGTCTGTAATTTAAAGGAAATGAAACGCGATTTAGTTTAAGGTAACCAGTTGCTGCTTTTCCGTTTGGGGGCCGAAGCTCACAGATGCCTGAAGGGAGAGATAGACCCTCCACCAGATGGAGAACTGACCGCGGGTGTGACACCACTGTGTTTGCCCGCAGGTGAGCGAGATGGAAGTGAACGGGCAGTTCGAGTCCGTGTGCGAATCCGTGTTCAGCGAGCTGGAGTCGCAGGCGGTGGAAGCGCTGGACCTGCCCATGCCCGGCTGCTTCCGCATGCGGAGCCACAGCTACGTGCGGGCCATCGAGAAAGGCTGCTCCCAGGACGACGAGTGCGTGTCCCTGAGGTCGTCATCCCCGCCACGCACCACCACCACCGTGAGGACCATCCAGAGCAGCACGGGTGAGTGGGCAGGCCACAGCCAGAGCCAGCGGGCCTCTCAGCTGGCTACACACAGCTGTCCCGAAAGACTGTGCCCCTGCTATTATCACACTTAGTTCCCGGGAACAAAACACCACCCGGGTCCTGCCCAGCAAGGGCTTTACTTCCTTGCCCACCTGTAGCCCCACCTCTGGCCACGTTCTTCCCTCTCGGTCTATATCCCGGGTATCGGGTATCATTTGGGTAAATGCGATTACAGCACCATTAGGGAGGGACTGCACAGAGGGGGAATCTATCCAAGATCCCCGCACCTCCTAGGAGCTAGCATAAAGGATCCAAACCGACTCCTACTCTCTAATTAAGCTCACCTCTTTAGCAGCCACTCTGCTAAACTGCCCATCATAGAGTTGAAATACTTTTATTATTCCAAGATTACCACAAAGTAACTATCCCAAGAGATCTGAAATATCTCCGTGAGAAAACAAGAAAGAAGAAATGGATAACCCAATAATACTGATCACTTTATGAATTTTCTTTTAGTATAACAGCAGATTTATTTCATTATTTTAAAGCCTCTATCTATCCTATATAAATAATATTTCCTTTTCCCTCTAAGCTGTATTTAGGTTTCTGCATTTAAACTATTTTTTTATCAGTAGATTTCAGGCACAGAGGCACAGAAGAGCTTAACTAGTTTCCATGACATTGGGACCTGCACCGTGACATAGCCTTGGGCTATTTTTAAGATGAGCATGCGTGCATATATACATCTATACACACACATACACCCATACACATATATACATATGTGTGTGTATAAAACATTTACGTTCCAAGAAGAAAATCCCTCCATCATAACTAGGCTTAATTTCCTGATTTAACTCAGCATAACTTCAATACGGAGTAGTTCTACAAAGAAAGTAATCAAACCCTGAGTCCAGATAAATAATGATGAATAAATTAGAAAGAAAAGCCTATGCCTGAATGTGGTATTATTCAATTTTGTCATAAAAGGTCAGAATTATCACTCAGCATACAACTCTTATACGTTTGAGAATTAAAAGATCCTCAAACCTGAGTTAAAATCCTACTAACTCAATGTATAAGAGAGAGGTAGGAGTTTTTAAAAAACCTTTAGAGGCTAAACAAGAGGAATTCATTCGAGACCTCAGCATCAGGGGCAAGGATACCTCTGGATGTCACACTAGCCCCAAAATTCAGCAGCTTTGAGCCTGACTGGCCATCTCCAGACCAGAGAGAGTGGATGGATGGGTGTTCTTGCTCACTAGGAAATCCTCCAACAGTCACATGTGTGATTAGTAAATTAAATAGCACTGATCTATAAAGAGAAAAAATATTTTAAACTCAGCCGTGAGCATTGTGTGCATGTTTGCATTCACACCGTGAGTGTGGTTTGGGAGGTCTGCCCTGTGCCTGCTGCCCGTCACTGTGTCTTTTGGTGTTTCCCATTGTTACTCCCTCCACCCCTCCCACAATCCTCTCTTCCCAGTGTCTGGTCCATTCCTCTCTATAAAGAGCTCATTGTCTGCCAGCTGAAATTCCTCATTAAATATGCAGAATTCAGATCCTTCCCAGAAGTGCCAAGGGTGCTCTTAGGAGACCGGTCTGGAGGGAAAGGACCACAGGCTCACTTCTTCCCCCTCAAGAAGTAGGTTGTGGATAAAGTGACGGGAGACACAGATTGGCTTTTCTCTGCTCCCGTCTCAGAGGATTTTGTGTTTTCATTATTTAGACAATTTACTTACACTTCCCACATCCATTCTTGCCCCCCTACTCTTCACTCAAAGACCCACAGGTCTGCTTTTTCTAAGACCCTTTCCAAATTCTCTGGAGACCAGAGTTCAAACTATAGGGTTGCCAAATAGAATCCAAGTCATGCAGTTAAGTAGGTATTTGGGGTTAATGGTGAATAATTCTGTAGTATAAATGTATCCCAAATATTGCATGGGATACTACAGAACTATTTGTAATGTTTGTAATATTTGCTAAAATACAATGAGATTATCAGAGCAGGAGATGAGTGGGTCCTGGGAGGCTGTCCTGTATTGTTCTATTTAGAATCTAAATAGAGTCTAAGGGGGGTTAGGTGGAGGTCCAGTGTGGGAAAACACCTGTAACAGGGAGAAGGGATTAAAAACTGCACAGAAGCATCTGCTCCTCCTTGGGCTCCATGAGTCCTGTCCTAAGCACTGGGATTGGGCCTCTTCTACCTGCAGTTCTCCACATGGGAAGGCTTCATGCTTGGCTGCCCCCCAAGGATTTAGGGGCAGGAAGATGTGACTTCCTCCTGGGCCGGGTGATACGTAAAATGTCAAGATTTTTACACAAGGCAGCCGTTGACTTCACCCTTAATCATTAAATTAACCATGATGTAAGACCTTCACAGTTATCAAAAAATAGTTTGAGTACTGAACCAGTATAGCAGATACTAACCAGGTGGGATATCTAAGAATGCAACTTTATGAATTCCAATATTACTTTTCACAGTTCCTCTAAGCCATGGATTTGTTCTTTTGAAGCAGTTCATAATTTTATAATATATAAGTTTACTAGCGTCCAAGTAGAGATTTTAGTTTATAATTTTATGATATAATATCATTGCTCGCCTCCAAGTGGAGGTTTTTCCAAGTTCTTGGTGTTCATCATGGAAAAGAATCTCAGGATAAGCCACGTAAGCCTAGCAAGCCAAAGCTTTATTGAAAGCAAAACTGCACTGTCAGTGAGCAAGGGAAGGAATGGCTACACTGAGAGGAAGTGCCTAGATCTTTTGTGGTCTCACTAATCAAGGGAGGAATATTCAAGGCCAAAGGATTGGTTTTTATTAAAAATTTGAGTTCTAACCATTTTCATATTTTATATGGATGTCTTGGAACTGTCATGGTGATTTCAAGGGCAGAGAAATGTCAAAGCCACAATGTAAATGATACTGTCATTAGCCCAGTGCACGTAAGGTGGCAGAGATAGCTGACAAGCCAGCTGACCAGTCATTGCTGCTCTTGTCAGCCCCTCTGGTTAGCTTCTGGTTGTTTAACACCTGCATCTGATCTTCAAGCCCCTGCATCTGTCTGGTCTCCTACTTTAACAATAAGGTTCAATGTTCTTGATTCCACCACTCCCACTATTCCTGTATTCATTCTCTCCCTCTCTCCCTCTCTCTCTCACACACAGACCCAAGCACACAGTTTTCTTTCCTCTCTCACATGATCTCAGTACTACCATATTAATTTTCTCCTCCCACTGGTTTTCTTCTTACATTGAATCAAATGCAACTTTCTGCAGAAAATACATAACATTTATTTTTCTCACAGGACTTACTAATTTTGAAAGAAAGCGCTCCTCTATGAAAGCTGGGAACAGACTTTACTCTCATTCTGTTGGTTTTCCTCAACTACACTGATCAAGTGTGCATCCAGGCTTAGTAGGATTTGATGTATTTCTCCTTCTGCTTCTCTTCCTTTGCTTATTATTCTTGGACACAATGGATTCTATTTTTCCTAAACTTCGTCTTTCCTGAAAAAAATTCTTGATTTTTGTCAACTATAGTTGTTAGGTAAAACTTTTCCCCACAACAGTCTACATGATGAGTCTTTGATTTGGGGTCAGCCCATTTTAATTGTTCAAATTTTCAGCAGTGTATACTATTGAGGCTCCTTCTTCCAGCCTTGTCCTTTTTTCATATTAGCAAAATGAAATCACAGGCAAGAGTCTACAAAAGTCTCATGCCACATGAGAGAGTCACAAAGACAGGCTCAGCTCTTGCCATTAACTCCATGGATGGAGACATTTCAACAAATCAGGGCAAATTAGGAGCTGAGTTAGAAAGTGACTTATAGTTGTGCTTCCTTGAATTTCTATGATAGAATCTTATGTCCTCTCAGCCTGCAGTCTGCTTCAAGCACCCAAATCTCTCTCTATCCAATAGATTCAACAAGTTTTCATATAAACCACTGCCCCTGGGACTACTAGGTTATGATTAGAGCTACTACAGAAAAGTAAAATTAAAAAGTGGCACAATTAATCTCATGACTATGAGTGAGCAAGCACCCATGCCACAGTTGTCTGAGTATTTTGGGTAAATGTGCCAGAAATATACCCAGACCTCCAGAGTACTGGATTACATGTTCCTCTTACAGAATATATGAAGCAATTGTATGCATGTAAGGGTGAATGTCTTTTTCTTCCTATGTTGAACATTTTCTAGGACCTATCAAAAACATTATCATGGGCTCGGCGCCTATAGCTCAACCGGCTAAGGCGCCAGCCACGTACACCTAAGGTGGCGGGTTCGAATCCCCAGCCCGGACCCGCCAAACAACAATGACGGCTGCAGCCAAAAAATGGCCGGGCGACGTGGCGGGCGCCTGTGGTCCCAGCTACTTGGGAGGCGGAGGCAGGAGACTCGCTTGCGCCCAGGAGTTGGAGGTTGCTGTGAGCTGTGCGGCCACGGCACTCTACCCAGGGGGACAGCTTGAGGCTCTGTCTCAAAAAAAAAAAATTATCATGTGGTAGCTAGGCAGACTTTCATCTTGTGATACCCGTAGCCTGAATAGGCAAAAACATTGTATAATGATAATAAGTGAATGCACACCCAGAAAAACAGATACACACGTGTACAGGAAAAGACATCAGAAAGGACACAAGCAGTGGTTACCTGGCAAGCAGTAGGTGAGGAAGAGTGATGACAAGGTGAGAGGGGATTTTTCAAATAAGCATTTATGATTTTAAAGCCAATACAATATTTGAATAAAAATAATATTCTTTAACAGAAATAGGCAAATTGTCATGATATATGATTCTCAGGTCTTTTAAGAAAATTCTGCTCTTTCAAATTATAAAATTTGCAAGGAAGATTTATGTAGCAATAATACAGTTTTTAGCTGGGCTCAGTCCGTGACTCACAGCTGTAATACTAGCACTGGGGGAGGCTGAGGTGGGTGGATCGCCTGAGCTCAGGAGTTCAAGACCAGCCTGAGCAAGTGGGAGACCCCATCTCTAAAAAA